TACCGCACTATAGGTGTTAAGTAAGAAGTGAATTTTTCTTTCTTTACACTACGTTTTCGCCGTTCAGTTCCGCTATGATTAAGTTTAAAATTATATATTGATAGCGATATCGAAGGCTTCCATTCGCGGAGTTTACCTCAGAATATCAGAGTTATATTGTAAAACTGTACTTTATTTAAAATATTTTAAATTTGGTATTTAGTTTTGGAAAAACATTGCGGAGAATTTGAGCGGTTTGTGCATAGTATCTGTTTAACTACCAACGAGTAAAGCTGTGTAAAGCAAACGTAAAATTCCCAACAACTTGACGTCGTGGAAGCAATGAATAATGATGGAACACATTTAATCCTTTTTAGTTTTTGATACTCGATTGAAGCGACGTAAGCACCGTCCCCTTGCTTCTAGAGCCTAGGGGACAATTTAAGCAGGTCACGGCTCCATGATATTTGAGCACCTGAAGTGCATGGATGCAGAACCGCATCACTAGCATTAGGCAGGGTCAAATAAAGGAATGTTTAAACATCTGTAAACATGCCATGATCTGTAGGCATATTTATACAGAAAAATAAAACCCGATTTTCTGGGTTTACTAACATACTGCCAGTTATTTATGCCGCCGCTAAGATATATAATCCTTTTTAGTTTTTGATAGTGTTTGGCCCTGCCTGATGATGCGGTTTTGTGTCCATGCACTGCAGGTGCTCAAATACCATAGAGCCGTGGCCTGCTTAAATGGTCTCTAGGCCACTAGAAGCAAAGGAGCGGTTCTTACGTCGCTTCAATCCAGTATGGTAGTAAACATATAAGATCGGGGTTTTATTTTCCTGGAATGCGTTTACTTGAAATTTTGGTATGCGGTAAATTGCTGTTATGATAGATCCATGTCTCGGCTTTAGTTTCCATTTTATTTATATAAGTAAATGAATTGGTCAGTTTCATTTTTTAGCTGATGAAGGCTCTGTAAATATTTCAAGCAAACGGTTTTTTTGTCGTTCTATAAAGCAGATTTAAAATGAGGTACCGTATCAATAATATTGTCAAAACTGTGCTAATGTTATAATAATAACAAAGCAATAATGCTGATCAGCAGTATATCGCTTCATTAATACTGTTAAAAAACGGGCTTGACAGTGAGAAACTTGCTAATAATGCCGTTTGGTTGCAGCATATACTAATTGAATAGTCTTAGTTGAAATATAATTTTATGCATGGTATTTCTCCAGTGAGATTGTGTTATTTTTTTTGCGCTGTATAAAAATAGTTGTAGGAGGTAACAATTGCTGATATATAGAAACTGCAGATTTTGACCTTACCTGTTCGTGCTAAGTGCTTGTCATTCGAGTATTGTCTATTACATGCAATTTTTGCACATTGTTATGCTCGCATCTCTGTAACTACGAGTTAAATCTTGATTCTGGCAAATTACTCCCTCTTCTGTGTCTGTTTCCCAAGGTAATGAGAATTCGTATGTACCTCCACGATTACGATAGAAATGGCTTATTACACTGATAATGACGATAGTGCTCAGGGTCGAACCCGTAGGTTAATAAGCGATTTTACATCGTCTTCGGTGACTGTTGCTTGGAACCACGGATGTGGAAACGATGACCATTAACTGTCATTCATACTAGAAATGAAAGGATGCCTCATTTCCTATCTATTTGAACAAAACATGCGAATGTTAGGAGAAGAAGAAGTCGTCATTCATGCAGTGCACTGAAGATAAGCTCGAAGAAACAAAATGTACTGTTTATTGACAAATTTAATTTCTAATTCTGGATACACACTTTTGTGCTTTACTTTTCAGCTTATTTCTATATGTATTATGTGTGAATATGTGTCACTGTATTTAAATACACGTTTAACTTCGCTATACAAGTTTGAAAGACGTTATCCTGCCACCAGTTGCTGCGAGATTGTTTAGGAATGAATATTTATAAATATTCATGGTAAAATGTATATAGCATGCATAGAGATATGTACTGATACCTACTAATAAGTATGTGATATAATCAAAGATATATAATTGATATACGGTATTCTCGAGATATATTGAGTGCGTACTGTTATGTAGCCTTAGTAACTTTACAATGTTTCGACTAACGATGACTATTAACGATGTCGTAAGCAACCGGAGTTCTTTGTACCTCGTCCCGAAGAAGGATACCTTGGTTTCAACCTCACATGGAAGATTTGAGTACTGCTATCGGTACTACTTCTCGAAAAATGCTTTATGGAATCTTTTTTATAATGTTGTGCAGTCCGATCGAGAATGATAAATTGTTGCAAAAAAATAACAATAAATCTGAATCATGCGTGACAAATGATATCAAGAATAAGAGAAACAGTCAGAGACTTTGCGTCTCGTTTTTTTGAAAGCGTGAAATCCCATCAAAACGTCGTTTCCGAGACATTCATGTCTTCATTCTTCCAGACGAGGATTACGTTTGTCATTATCACATAACGTAACAGTCTATATAAGATTATCTATAATGTATATATTTCCATAGCTAAATACGTATTACTGTGTTCATTGATCGAATGCATGATAGCCCATGTTTATGGATGAATGTTTGTGACTTTTATTTTAAGTCTTTCTCATCCCTGACTCATCGTCAGGTTTTCAAACGGTTTATACTTCACATAAAAATTTGACAAAACGAATGCCGGATGTTTCAGATCGAGCCCGATCTCGATCTATCACAGAAAGTATTATTTAACAACATATGCACTTTTTGGATAAAAATGAATTTAAAAACGTGTTAGTTCACGATAATTAAGGGCTAATTACTTTATTACTGAATTGTACTGTTACTATTGTATTGTTGTGTTGTACTGCTTATTACTGTACTTATTGTATTAAAATACTTTATTAAATTTCTTAGACTGACGGGCTGTCCCTTGCTTTTCTAATGTAAGATTTGGTCAAATAATTATTTTATTACTC